ACAAAAAAAAAAGAAAATATCATTAAGTTGAAAATGCATGTAATACACCTAACCTACTGAACATCATAGCTTAGCCTCGCATACCTCGAACATGCTCAGAACACTGGCATTAGCCTACACTGGGCAAAAAAAGTGTTTTATAATAGTGTTGAATATCTGATGTCAGTCATTGAATACTGTACTGAAAGTGAAAAACAGTATGGTTCTTAGAAGTTTATCAGTTGTTTACCCTGGTGACTGCATGGCTGACTGGGAATTGTGGCTCACTGCTGCTGCCCAGCATCACAAGATAGTATCCTACTGCTTATCACTAGCCCAGCAAAAGATCAAAATTCAAAACTTGAAGTATTCTAGTTTCTATCGAATTCCTATCACTTTTCATGAGCACAATAAAAAAAAACTTAAGTCAAACATTGTAAATTGGAAGCTGTACTATACAGACTAGTTGCAGCAGGCACTTTCACACACCAATCAATAGCCACTTTCTTTTCCCTTTTTTGTAGAAAACAGATGTATTTCTGTGTCCACTCTTTGCATAGAAGACTTGGAAGAAAGTCCTAATTGCTCAAATCTAGTAACGATGGTGCCAGCCATTCCCCTTGCTAGTGCTGTATTTAGTAATGAATACATGGCCTTCGTGCCCAGTGAGTGGTGGGTTTCTAGGCAATCCTTCTTCACTCTTAAAAATAACTTGAAACTGCAATTTTTCTTGCTGGATATTGTAAAATCTGTATGGGATGCTTGGAACTATGGCAGCCATCATGTGACAAAGAGCGAGCTTAGAGTAACAGGCTGAGTAAGATAGAAGGCCCTTAAATCCACTGAGATCTATTTCGTGTGAAGTAAAACCATACATTTCCTAATTCTCAAAATGCTAGTCTGAAACAAGATCCATAGCTAGAACGTAAGTCAACACACAACTTATTTTCATCAGTTTGTCTTAGATGCACTGCCCACACTGCTTAGATGGACTAAGCAGTGTGGGCAGTGATGTAGTTCAGTTACATTTGGTACAAACTCCTCTCATTTAGTCTGCAATAATTGGATTACTTCAATATGTATCTGGTTGTAGAAACCAGCTCAGCAAGTGATTTGGGAGAAATTTATTTTTATCCAGAAAACACTGTGATATACATCATTTTGGTGTGTAGATTAGGCCTGGGATTTGCTCTTTTTAAGTAGTTTTATCATTCTTGACCTCCATTCTATAAATGTTCATTGACCACTCACTAAATTATACATGCAGGACACACGAATAAGTAATTGTTTTTTTTGATATCAGAAAGATCATATGCTGGTATGAAAGATAGGGAAGGAAATCAGTAATTATAGTACATGCTGAGGTAATTGAAAAGCTGTTACAAGGTATTAGAGATTTATGTGTAATGTGTTTGGGCTAATGGGGAGGAATCAGCAGGAGAAAGCTTTACAGAAAATGTGGCACCTGAACTAAGACCTGGAGGTGGTACCTAAAACTGGAGCTGTATGTTCAGGGTGAGGCTGAAATTGCAGGGAAATGACTAAAAGACATGCTAAGGAGCTGGAATTTTACTGATGCTGACAGCTTACTATAGGCATCCAGGCATTTCCAGATATGGTAAGGTTGATACCTGCTGGACAGCTATTTAGAACTATAGCTCGAGTAATTATAAACACCAACCTTTAACTGCAGAATGGCTTTGGGATCAACTTGAACAATTTTGACAATGTCTACTTTATTTCCTCCACCTCACTTGTAAGTACTGTACCGCAGGAGCCTAAGAAATTGCCTAAATTTAGATATACTTCCACTTTTAATCTTCCCAACTAGATCAATTCTCTGATAGACAGGAACTGGGGCTGTCTCCTGTTGAAGATACACGATCAAAGCCTGGCTTGGAATCCAAGCCTGTCTTAGTCCTGAACCCGTTAACTGTTTTTTTTTTTTAAAGATTTTATTTATTTATTTGACAGAGCCAGATACAGTGGGAGAGAGAGCACAAGCAGGGGGAGCAGGAGAGGGAGGAGAAGCAGACTCCCCGCTGAGCAGAGAGCCCAATGCGAGGCTCGATCCCAGGGTCCTGGGATCATGACCTGAGCCGAAGGCAGACGCTTAACGACTGAGCCACTCTGGCGCCCCCC